ATAATTTTATAAGTGATATAAAACATTTCCAGAAAGCATATATTGAAAGCACGAAGCCCTCAGGATCCTCTGCCCAAACAAACTCCTTCCTTCCCTCTCTCTCTCTGTGTTTCAGTGAGTGCTCCAGCAGCCTCATTGTTTGGATAATTCAGGGTGCCAGATGGCTGTAAATATGTTCACAACCCTCCTTAGCCTGCTCCCTCCTCCCTGGCACCCTCAATGCTCTACCCAGTACCAAGCACCTGGTCTGTTCCCATTTGGAGTTTCCCTTCTCCCCTCTGGAGCTAAATTGGCACTGCTGGTTTGTATTTTCCCTTTAAATGAAGTGGGAAAATCTTAGGGAATGTTTTGTGCCAGGGAATACTGAATTCTTCCTTCGCTGTCACTTGCACCATCAGTTAATTGAAAATGTGCCTCCTGCCCTGTGGCATCAGCCTTCTTCCTGCAGGAATCCTGTCCCTGACATAGGAAGATGCAGCTCACCTGCAGCGAATCATGAGGGAGGAGCAGCTGCTTCCTATTTTGAGCGCAGCCGTCTCATACTTACCCTTGGCATGGGGTTAGGGTGCACAGAACAGGGTGATTCATCCCAGATTATGCCCCAAGGACCTGGCAGAGGCAGTGTTTGAACAACCGGCCCCATTCTTCCTGCCTCACAGGCTCTAGATTCATTGTCATACTCTGATCCTGTTATTCCATAACTCGTGAGGGCCCAAATCCTGGGCCCTGAGCCCCGGAGATAACTTTTCTGTGTAATGATATATTTCCAAAATGCTGAGCAGTAGAAAATAACAGAAAGCTGTTTCAATGGCACTGTAAAAAGGGAAGTTGGTTTTAAAACACCTGAAAATATAGGCAGTGACGTTTTGAGAACTGAGGAATAACTGAGGTCACGAGCTGCCTGAGGAATGCTGCAGCAGCACAAACTCAGGTCACAGGAAGGGTGAGCTGTGCCCGTGAAGGAACAAGAATTCAGCCAGATTTGTCTGTGGTTTTGCTCTCAATGATGAGCTGGTGGGTGAACTCTTCCCTGGAAAGCAGGAGGGAGCAGATGGCAGCAGGCAAATATCTGACTTGAGCAAGGAGAGAGAGAAACCTGTTTTCCAAAGGATCTATTTGACATACAGAAGCCAAATGTTATTTTTATGAAGCAGTATGAGCCAGACCTCTCATTTATTGAACCTTACCAGTTTGTGAACTGCCAGCAGACCTAACCTGAGTGACCCTGTGACCTATAAAGGACAAGAGAACCAGCAGGCATTCCGAGCAGGCTTTTCCAGGAACCTTCAGGATTCTGAATGCCACCTCACGATTTCTGGGAAGCACGACTCCCAGCTTGGTCTGCAGAAAGGTAGACAGCGCTCAAATTATATATAGCAGCAAGTGGGCTGGGAGGAGAAACACTTGGCTGCACAGAGCAGGAGGCTGCTCTGGAGGAGCCCAGGGAGTGTTGTAAGGTGCAGCACAAACCACTGGCATCTGGCGAGTGGAGCTGGGCCAGTGCTGGCCTGTGGGCAGCTGGAACTAATGGAGTGAAGGAGAGCCCTGGGCAGTGCCAGGGGCACACTGGGTACACACAGATTGATCCCTTGCTCTCAGCTCTTCTTCATCCTGTTCCATGCCCTGCCATGGGCAGGGACACCTTCCACTGTCCCAGGCTGCTCCAAGCCCTGTCCAACCTGCCCTTGGACACTTCAGAGTTGGGGCAGCCACAGCTTCTCTGGGAAACTTGTGCCAGGGCCTCCCCACCCTCACAGGGAAGAATTCCTTCCCAAAACCCCATCTAAAACTTCTCTCTTTCAGTTTAAAGCCATTAATGACTCAGTCCATTTGTTGAGAGTCCTTTAAATAATGATGTCCACATCTCCATTGTGGCATCATTCCAGTCGATGCCAGACCTTTGCCTATTGCCCAGTATCAGCCTGTGAGCACAGAGTCCTCCAGCTCTGAATGGTTCCCTCTGTCCTCCTGTCCTACATGTATGGGCTCTTTATTCTGACCATTCCGTCAGCCCCAGGGCAGGGGTTTGGAAGGAGAAATTACCATTTCAGTGCACAACTCCCAAGACACTGGTGTCAGGAGAGGGCTGAGCTCTGTCCTTTGAACTCTGGCTGGTCTGGCCTCTCCCAAACATTCCCAAATGTTAAAAAGATTTTGAAACCCTCTCTTGCCTCTGGGCTGGGATGATTTGTGTCAAAACAGAGCAACAAATTTTTAAACACATTACAAATTAAGGAAGTGGAAGAGTCACTGTAGTTTTCAGTTCCTCAGGACATTTTATAGAGTAAAACAAATCAGCAGTGTCTGAAAGCAGAGATTTAACTTGCACAAATCTCCACGTGTGCATATTCCTGGGATACGTTTGCACACAGGTGTATCTGGCATGCAAAACTGCTGAATTTTTCCATTTTCTATCTTTTTCTAGGGAAGTGGGTCTGTTCTTGCTGAGCTTTAATTTGAAAACCCAGTTGGAACTTGTTAAGTCAATAATTATTCTTGTGAATGTGGGTCAAACTATTTTATGTCTCATCATCTCTAGGGACTTGGAAGAAGATTCAATCCTCCAGCAGTCCAAGGTAGAAAGCACCACACTTCCCATTTTATTTCGAAAGTCCAAACTGATTGTCTCATGGGGGTAAAAGCTGATGAGGGACAGGGTCGTGTGAGCGAGTGGCATCACTGCAGCACCAGGTGCTCACCTACAGCTGCTGACACAGGAAAGAATGCCCTCAGCTCTGATAACATATCAGAGTGCCTTGGGATCTCATGCAATTTATTCTAAGGGCATGCTGAACATATTATTCAGTTGGGATATTGGAGGATCTATAACTTCCCACCTTCCACATCTGGACACAAATCCTACTTTCTCTTTTTAAAGCATTTGCCTTATTGGAGAAAAAAAAAAAAAGCAACAATTTCTGCAGTTTTCTCCATCAGTAACTCCAGAAAATCCTTCTTCACAGCAGGAGCTATTGGCTGTGTTGAAAAATTGTATTTATCCACCCCCTCCTCAGCCTGAGAACCCTCTACCATGAGTTACTGGTGTTCCTGCTCCACTCGGGAGGTTAGGGTCTTTTTCCAAGGATGGAAACTGCTGGAGAAACTGGACTTTATCTACCACAATTTTATTCCTGTGAACTGCTTTGTTAGGTGTAATTGAGCCTGTAGAATAGCCCACTGCTACTGAAACAACATGAACCCCTTTCTACCTTACACCCGAGTTTTGCTGCCCTGTCAGCAGTATGAGAGTTGCCTCCAAGTGTAAATTCTATTTAAAGCCACCAAAAGCCTCTTAATGGTTACCTCCTGCTTTCCAGCGGCCTCTCAGCACTGCAGAGACACTGCAGCTGCTCCCTCTGTCCCCAAATCTGCAATGGGTGAAACTTAGGGTGGCCATGTGTCACATGGGGCTGATTTGTGGGGCTGCATCCCAAAATGTTCTCTTGGCAGGAAGTCTCTGGGTGGGGTCAGCTGTGTCTGAGCACAGCCCCTGTGGCTTGCGGGGTTTGTTGGGTTTTCAGCCCTCTCTACCCAGGCTGTTGGGTGCCAGTGTTTCACAGAGTTATGGAATCATGCAATGATTTGGGTCTTGGGAGGGACCTTAAATCTCATCCAGTTCCACCCCTGCCATGGGCAGGGGCACCTTCCATTATCTCAGGCTGCTCCAAGCCCCATCCAACCTAGCCTTGAACACTTCCAGGGCTGGGACCACCACAGCTGCTTTGGGCACCCTGTGCCAGAGCCTCCCCACCCTCACAGGAAGGAATTTCTTCCCAAGAATTCCATCCTAAGGTGTTTCTCTGTTATTTCCTTGGAAAAACAGAGGATGGAGGAAGGGAGGGAGGGAGAGAGAAGGGGGTTTGCTTAAAGCTTTTGAGGCAGGCAGGGAGAAAATAACCAAAAAAAGACGCTTTGGTGGGGAGGGTGGGTGGGCTTCTGTGTGCCGCATGCAGCCGGGGTTCCTCGCCCCGCGGTCCTTATTTGGCTGGGAGCGGGAGCATTCCAGGGATTGGCTGTGCTGGGAAGCAGGCAGGGAGTGCAGGCACTGGAGCCGAGTGCCAGCTGACGAGCACAGCACACGCTTGCCCACTCCTCACCATGTGTTGAGCAAATTGCAGCTATTTTTATAGGAGACGCTTTGCCTACATCTTAAGAATCCAGTCCCAATCCCGTCTCCCTCTAGTGTAATGGGAAATCCCCTTCCCAGCCCCCTTTTCCCTATACTGTACATGTTTTCAAGGCACAGTTGGGCAGAACCCAGAGTTCTTGGCCATTATCAGGCTTCAGACTTCTCTGCTGTGCACTGCCCGGCCAGGGCACTCTGTATTCCTGTAATGATCCAGTGTTTTGTCTCCAGACCCAACATAATTGCCACGCTGGACAATACCGGCCCTTTCTGGGAATGGCAGCCGGCTGCTCCACTGCGAGCGCAGCCCCGTTGTGCGGAGTTATTCCCGCATGGATAGACCCACCGGCCGGGGGCGATGATGCACAAAGCCGCGTCTGTGCTGCCCTTGGCTTTGCTGCTCCGTAGGGCTCCCTGCACCGTGCCAGCGGCTTTGGGAATGCCTCTGCAGGCAGGGGCCGGGCAGGGGGCTGGCGGGAGGCAGCAGGGAAACAGAGGGGGGAAACTGTGAGGGGTGAGCAGAGAGGCAAGACCCCCAGAACTGCCCTTAGGAGCTTCAGGGCCTCCCTGAGGAGAGCAGGACGGGGCTGCTCAGGTGTGCTGCTCGTGGGGACCTTTCCAGAGGCCTGCACTCAGAGCAGCATGGCAGTGAGCATTCCAAAATCCAAGGAGAGTTGCTGGTGTGGGAGTCACAAATACAGCACCTCGCTGGCACCGACTGGGATGCAGGTCATAAGGGAGGTTCAGCGGTTCCTTGCAAAACCCTTTGTGAAGCAATCCAGTTCATTAACATGGAAAGGCACTGAAAGTTATCCCTGGAAGTATCACTGGGGTCTGGTTAAGCCAAACTCATTGAGAAAGGTTTGGGGTTTGGTTTTATTTTTTTCTTTAGTTTAAAAAAATCTTATAATCACAGCCAGGAAAGGAAAGAGAAAACACCAACCATGACCAGGAAGTAATTCTGTGGGTTTGATATTTTCGTGGACTATTTGCCATGTAGGTAATAGAATTAGGTTTCCTTTTAAAAAACAAGGAACAGTTGGATGTTACCACGAGTGAACTTGTGAGACACAGCCACGTCCTGCTCGTGGCTGTGAAAGCTGAGCCAGCCCGTGAGCTGACGATCTGAACTCTGCTCTGGGCTCAGTTTTCATTCCAGCCAGGCTGATTCAGATCTTGGACAGCCCAAGCAGAGCCTGCTGCTGTCTATGACACCTGAGAGGGCAAGGCAAACCTACTAAAACTGCTGTTGGCTTGTGGTGTCTGGCTCCTGCACACACCCCTATTGCTCAGCTCAGAGAAAAGGTAAAAAAAAAGAGAAATGAGAATGGAAAAGCCCAAACCCCCCCCCAACTGCCTGTGTGGGCTGTCGAATCCAAGGCTTTGATCTTCTGGTTGCACAGAAGGGAAGACACATCGCTGCTACCTCCCACTGCTTGGGGCCAAGGGGGTCTGTGAAGCATTCATGGCCCGACAGGGTCAGGGTGGATACGGAGTGTGTTGCTGCTGCCCTTCTGGAGGGCTCTGCATGCACCCCAAAATAACAGCTGCCAGCCGCAAGTTTTCTAGGGGACTGTGCCAGGACAGAGCTCTGCAAGCTGCACCCAGCAAATGCCTCAATGGCCTGTGTAACACTGGCAACCAACCTGGACTTCTCACATCTTCAGGGAAGTTCCTGGACACTGGGGACTTCCCGGCAGTGGTGGGGATGGACACCTTTTTTAACCTTTTAATGTCACTTATTTCTGAGAGGGAACAGGGCAAGTGTCCCAGTGAACGAGACGTAGTTTGGGGCACAGTCCAGACATGAAAGCAGCAATGCCAGGGCTCATCCAACTCCACTCCATGGAGTGCTCCAGGCAGACACGGGCAGTTCCCGGGAACCAGTGCTCACTCCTGTTCTTGGAGCATGACAGGAGCTGGGGCCTGCAGTGCAAAGGGAGCTCTTACAAAGGAGTATAAACTGCAACTGATTTATTGGAACACGGGGTTGATTCATCAGGGGATGCGATGGAGGAAAGGAAGGGTCCAAGCTTTGAGAAGCAAATTTGGGAGAGAACAGGCACCTTTTCACTCTTTTGAACACTGTAAATAATAATAATAATAATTAAAAAAAAAAAGACCCAATTGCTGCCCTCCCCAGTCCCTCCCTCCCATCCCAAGGCTTGCCTTCACATCATGCTCTTTCTAAACTGCAACTGTGAGCTCTGTTTGGGCTTCGAGTCTGACTGCTGCAGCTCAAACTGTTTGTACAGGTCCCTCAGCTCTTTGATCTCCTGCAGCACCCTCTTAGCTTGACTCCAGGTGGAGGAAGCCTCCCCCAGCAGCCTCTCAGATTCCTGCAGGATCCTTTCAGAGTCCGACTTGGAACATGATGAGGAAGAAGAGGTGGTGGTGATGGTGGTGCTGGTGTTGGAGTCCTTGGTCTTTCTTTTGCCTTCCCCATAGCCCTTCACCTCTGTCAGCAGTTCCTGAGTTTTTTCCAGTTTCAGTGCAACCAGTTCCTGTATCCGGGACAGCTGCTCCGGTTCTGCCGAGGCAAACTGAGCCTCCAGCCCCTTCCTCAGCACCGCCCGGTGCGTGGAAGAGTCCCGTCGGGACAGGATTTCTTCCATGGAGGCACATTTATTCTTTTCTGAGTGCGAGAGCTTTTTGGGGACCTGCGGTGTGTACATGGTCCCTTTGTCAAAGGAGTCATTGCGCTGCCCCGCTCTATCCCATGAGGTCACCTCCTGTCGCGGGAGGCTCCCTGTCCGCCCTTTCTCCGATGACTTGGTGTTCTCCGAGTCTGAGCGGCGCCGCCCAGCAGTGAGGTGTGCCACGGACTTGTCCAGATCCACCCGGAAACTCTCCTCGCAGGTGCCGTGATCCTCCGGAGAGGCGTCTTCCTCCTGGATCAGGTCGAGGGTCAGCATTCCATCAGAGGTTGAGGTAGATGCCTGGAGGAGCAGAAAGCAGAGCTCAGTTGGCACCAGAATGGCTGCTGCCCCTGCTTCCAAGGGTCTCTGCACTGCGGATACACACTACAGAGAAGGAGCGGGAATGCTCCCTCACTCAGTGACAGAGCCTCGGGGTGGCTTTTGCCAGAAGGTTTGCACAGTGCTGTGCTGATGACCAGAGCCGTCCTTATGGCAGCTCTCAGTTCAGCATGGAGCTCCAACACCGGCTCTCCTTGCACTTACTTACAAATTGCAGGGGAATTTCACCCAAGCAGGTGTCTGGGATTGATTGTACCTACCACAGCCATGAGGTGACCCCGCGTGGGAGGGCGCCTGGAGTGCTGGATCTTGGCTCTGTCACGCGTTGGGTGGGCAAGGAAACTGTCCTCTTCCACAGTGACCTGCAGGGTGACACAGGCTGTGAGCACGGAACACCAGCCACTCCCAGCTCCCGGAGCTGTAAGCAGAAGGAGACTGGCAGGGAACGGGGTGTGGGAGTCCAGTCTTGGAAGTGACCCAGTGTTGGCCTGGTCTCTGCCCTCTGTGCCATGATGGGATTACATCTGCTCCAGTCATTCCTGACAATTGAACCTGTTTGCAAAGACTCCGTGACAGACTCTCCTGGAAGCCATCTCTCCTGGTGTCTGCTGTGCTGCTTCCTGCTCTAAAGCATCCCCCATAGTCTGACCTTGGTTTTCCTTCACTACAGGCTCTGTGCTGCCTTCCAGGAGAGCAAAGAGCCTCCTGGCAGTGCCATGGCACTGTGGGAAGCTGAGTGTGAATGGGAGAGCTGAGACAGGTTTGAGCTGAGGAAGGGTTGCCATGAAACATTAATGTGAGAGTCAGGCCTGGAGCGAGGGCACAGCCTGCTCCAGCTAGGTTCTTCACACTGAAGGAAACTGTGGGAATGCTCACCTTGACGTGCCTCTGCCAGCCCACCTGGCGTTCTAAGTACACCCTGTGTCCCCAGGAGGAGGCTGAACTGGGGCTGCCCTGTTATTTTTCCTGGCAGAAGCTACTTTGTGTAACTGGGACTTTCACACGCCCCTTGAGAAGCAGGAGGAGTTCTGCTGGAGACACTTTGTGTGGATGTGTACCTAAGACAGGGCTGTTCCCAGCAATCTCAAACCTTCACCTGGGCTGAGACACGGGAGCTGGGATTCAGCCTGAATCCTGCTCACCTCGTCCAAGATCCGGTTTTTAGCACGTGTGATCGCAGAGTTGAGGGCGTTAATCCAGGACTCTTTCTCTTCTGGACTCACAGCCAGGAAGATCAGATTTGGTGCCTACAAAAGAGGGAATTCAGGTCAGTGCCAGAACTCACACAGGGACGGGCCTATGGCTCTACAGAAAAGGCAAAGCAGAGCAGAGCCTCCAACCCTCTTTGCCCCACACAGCAAACCCCAGGACCATTTACATCCCTCTCTTCCCTGCATCGCCCAGGACCATCCACATCCCTACCCACCCCTGGAGCCAGTGGCTCTTGGGCTGGCTGCATCTGGGCAAGCCCCACATACCGTGTTTCCAGGCTGCCTGGAGTGGGCGAGAGTAAATTTGCTGTGGTTCTTTTTGCTTCTACTTTTGGACTTCCTGAGCTCTTCACATTTCTCATAGTCACTCAGGTCAAACATTTCCTGTATGGTTTTTTCATCTTTCACCTGCAAAACAGCAAGAAAATTAGAACTTTGCAGATGTCAGACAGAGATGCCGCTGCTCTAGCCAGCAGGATTTCAACAGGAGGATTTTGACTAGTCTCTTCTGGAATGAGGGGGCATATTTAGAAGGATAGCAAGGAAATCACACTTTGCCAGGTTAATTTGCCAGGTTAAGGTGGCTCTTCCATCCCCAGAGTTACTGGCATCAGGCTGAACAGTCATACAGGTGTGATCAGACACAGCATTCCTGCTTGTGGGCCCTCAAAATGTGCAGGATTTATTCCAGCCACAAGGAGAGGGCCCTGTGTGCCGGGAGGGGGCAAGGGTGGAGGTGAGAGGTGCAGGAGAAGGTGGGCTCTCATCTCTGGTTCAAGGGGACAATTATTCTCTGCAGACAGCAGAACAAGAGGTGGAGCAATAAGGATTAGCACTTCCTATTTTTTACCCTGTGCTGGCAGCTGGCTCTGGGGGAAGTACGGCCGGGCCCAGAGTGTGGACGTGACACTGAGCCCCAGCCCTGCAAGGGGGCTGTGGGCAGAACCCACCACCCGGGGCAGGGGCTGCGGGGCTGTCCCGAGGCTCTCAGTGTCCTTTAAAGAGTCCTTGAGTGACCACTTTACAAGATCTTCCGTTTTCCAGGTCTGTTCCACAACACTCTGCCACAGTGCGACAGGTACATGGGGATGGATCAGTGTCACAGAGGCTCAGATTAGAGATGGAGCTTGCACAGGGTCACTGGGGCTGTGGCTGCACTGGGGGACAGGCAGAGGTCTAGGGGCACATAGGGCTCTGGATGCTGACCCCTGACGGTGCTGTCCCTCGGAGACTTGGAGCAAAGGGAAAATGGCAAAGCTGTCCCTTCCTCTTCATTGCTCTCCTAATGCACCATCCTCAGTCCCACTCTTACAGCAGGGAAGCTCTGCTCTTCCATGGTAAACACGAGGAATTAGGAAACTGGGGTGGGAGACAGCTCAGGTTTGCATGTCCATTACAAACTCTGCACCAGGCTCAAATCCACATCCATCTGCTTAATCTGACTCCAGCCAGTCATCCCAGGCTGCATCAGCAGTGGAGGGTGTGTAACTCGGGTGCTGGGAAGGCAGATGGTGGTGAGGTCTGAGCCCTTGGATTTCCTGAAAGGACTCCACCCCATTTCATACATTTCCTCCACAGTTTTGGGAAGCAGTGAAGGAACTCCCCATGATTCTTCCATAGAATTTAATCAAAGAGGGTGACTAAACCAGCTTCCTAACCAGGAATAACCAGGCATGGATAAACTGACCATCTGGCCTTGCCTGATGACAGCAGCTCCCCTCTATCCTTTGTCCTTGTGCTCCTGAGTGTGTCCCCAGGATCCACAGGACAATCACCGGCACTGCCATCCCTGATGGCCCGAGCTGGTTCCTGCTTGTGACACATCCCCTGTGTCTGGGTGTGATAACAGAGACTGTCTGGCTGCACATCCTCCCTACATGCTGCTAATCGGCTTTGATCTCTTCCCACTCCCATCCTACAATCCACCTCTTTCCAAGAATCTCTGCTGAATTGTGCCCGACTCATTTGCAGCAAGAAAAGCCGATCCCCCTCCGACCCCCAGCTGCGCTCTGCAGCTGAGACCAGAGCCCTTGCTCCAGATGTTTGCTCATGTGGGTCACTGGGGCTTCCCCAGCCCTTCCCTTCCTCTGCAGAGCTCACACAATCTCCTGCCTCCAGGAGTATCGCCAGGAAGCTGCAGGACAGAGCAGGTGTCTTTGTTCAGACAAACACCCTGCAGGTGCAGCTCGTCCTTCAAACACCTGCAAATGACACGAGCCAGGGGACACTGCACTCGGACACACTGAGGGGATCCTGCTCCTGTGTCTGACCCATTATAAAATGCTTAAAGCTGGGAATAAGCAACATCCACAGGGGGATTCCTGAGGGAAGAGGGTCAGCAGCAGCCTGGAATAGGTGGCTGTGGTGGCACAGAAAAAACAGCGGGTGTCTCACATGGGGCATGGCCAGCTGAGCCCCCTCTCATGCTCATGTAACAGAGCATCCAGTGTGCAGAGAGAGAAACTGGAGAGAAGGAAGGTGAAAGGCAACTCCAGAGGCACCTGCCAGCTCTTTTGTCCTTTGCGGGAGGCTCCTGAGGCCAAAAGGAGGGAGGTGGTGGCATGAGAGGCAGCTCAGAGCAGCCTTGGAGGTAGGAGAGGCTGAGGACAAACCAGCCTGAGGAGCCACAGACTTACTGGGACCATGAGGCCAACAGAGCTGAAACCCTGGTCACTGTGTCAGTCGCAGGTGGGTGACAAACCTGCAGGGTGTCACCTCCTCCATGTTCTCTGTGAGATAGGGGCCATCCAAATCAAACTTTCCAGGCTTCTCCAAAGAGGATTTGGCTGAATGTGTCCCAGCACCCTGTCAGTGCCCAGGATGGAGTGACCTCTGGTATCATTTCTCAGTAGGAGAGGAGGAAGCAAGAGGTTGATGGTTGATTTTGGCAAAACCATTCCTAGCTGGGAGGTTTCCAGCAGGTCCCTCCTTCCCCAAAGCTGCCGAGAGCTTAAGAATTGAGGGATCTCAGAGCCTCACTGGCAGGTGGGTCCTGCTCTCCGTGCCCTGTGGGGAGCTTGGGATTGGAAGGATTAAGGTGAATCAATCCCAGCAGGTGCTGCCCTGGCTGTCTGCTGGCATTGCTGTCAGGCTATACCCATGTGAGGCAGGCAAAACATGCCCTGGGGTTCCACTTGGCTCCTACCTGTGGCCAGGTGAGGGAAGGGGAACTGAGGCATGGAAAAGCAATCAGAAGCATCCCCCATCCCTACAGCAAGGAATATTTCTTTGCAGCCATGAGATCATGCAGCCCCGCACCCCTGGCAGCTGGCCTTGCTCGGGGTGTCACTGCCTGTGCCAAGGCTGACACTGCTCGGATCCGAGGAGAGGAGCTGCATTCCTTGCACTCCTTGCACTCCTCCCCTCACAGCTGCCGCCCGCCTGGGTTAGCCCCAGGGGCACCCAGCACTCCCTGTGCCCTGAGATGTGAGGGGCTGTGAGCACGTAATGGGTCAGAAGACCAGCCATGGCACCCAAATCCCTTCTCCAGAGGGTCACAGCTGTTGGTGCTTCCCAAACTCTGCTCCCATAGGAAGGCTCGTTGCAGCGCGCTGGCAGCGGGAGGGTCTCTTTACCACCCTTGGGTGTCTCACTGATGAGAGTCTGAATTTCCTCACCAAGCTGTGACCTGCAGTGACTCTGAACCTCCTGGATCCAGGTCAGGGCTGTGTTTTGGGGCCAAACCGTGCATGGAAGGGCAGGACAGGTGCTCAGTCACAGCAGTCTGGGATTTTTGGTGACAATTTGCTTGATCAGTTCCCTGCTGCACTGGGACACAGAAAAATGCGGAAGGTAAAGAAAATCACAAGACCCAGTGTGAGGCACCCACGGGACACTTGGGAGGCCACAGTGCGGCTCAGGATGTAACCAGAAACCTCCAGACTCTCAGTGCAGCCAAATACCCAAACATGGGCAGTTTTGGGACAGACAGTTCCCCTTGTAGGCTGTGACCAAAGTTTCACTTCCTCCAGCTGAGCAGCTCTACTTCAACAAGGGACGGAGCTGCCTGCAGACCTGGCTGAAGCCAGGCTGTCATCGGGACAGGGATGCACATGGGTGTGAGCAGGACTGTCCAGTCCTTGTCGTGGCCAGGTCGCTGCCCTTAGCTGGTGAGGGGATGGTGGCAGGATGTGGCAGGGACACCTTCCACCAGCCCAGATTGCTCCAAGCCCCATCCAGCCTGGACTTGGACGCTTCCAGGGATGGGGCAGCCACAGCTTCTCTGGGCACCCTGTGCCAGGGCCTCCCCACACTCACAGGGAGGAATTTCTTCCCAAAATCCCAATGTACTGAGTCCAGCGGCGTTCACTGAGGGCAAATGCCCCACGGAGCATTACAGAACCGAGTATGCGAACACACCCCCAGCCCCTCGCCGGCCGTGCCGAGCTGGAACCGAGGAGCGGCACCTCCTCGAGTGCTCTTGTGCTAATTGAGCCAATGCCTTTAGTAGCAAACAAGGGAATGCTCGAGAGAAGCGTTTCCTCATCGCCCTCGGCAGCCGGGCTCGAGCTGCCTGGCAGCCCCCGGCTTCCTGCGAGGAAGTGCCGAGCCCGAGCCCAGCTGTGTCAGCTCGGCCGCTGCTCCCGGGCGCAGGCAGGGACAAAGCTGGGTCAGGAACAGGGAACAATTCCCAGAAATGTACCGGGGGGAGGAACCGTCGTGAGGAGAGCGAGGGGAAAGAATGCAAGAGTGAGCTGAGAAGGTGACAGTGTGCTCAGCAGAGCTCAGCCCGCTACACCTCATCTCTACAGAGCTGGTTCTGGCCCATGACCAAACGCTGAATAACCAAGGATTTTGGTGTGAGTTCATGGAGTTCAGCAGCCGTGGGGGAGCAGAGTAGAGCACGGCCAGAGCCTCAAGCTCCCATTTCGGGAGGTGTCAGACAAGTCCCACAGCTTTCAAAGGGCAGCACTCAAACACCCTGTTAGCATTTTCCATCAGCTGGGCTGCAAAATTACATTTCCTCTCCTTACAGACTTGGCTCTGCCAGGAAGAAGCCCAGGCTTCTATCAGACATTCCCAAATTCTCCCGACAAAACTGAATACTCAGGGCTGGTCTCTGACCTGCAAGCCCAGTCCTAGACAGAGAACAGGAAAAGTACACAAATTCCCAGGAGGAATATTGATGGCATTTTGTTAGTCTGAATTTTGGAAATCTCCCCACTGCAGACCTCAGCCCATGCTCAGCTCCGAGCTCTGAGAATGGTCTCTTTGTGCAGCATCAACCTGCCCCAGCCAACACACTTCCCGAGGGATCCCGGTGTGGAACAGACAATTCCCCTTCCCCATGGGCTTTGGGGAGATGGGATTCATTGCCCTGCTTCCCAAATAGAGAAACTCAGGCAAAAGTAAATAAATGTCTGGTTTGGATCCATTTAATGAGCATGTGGCAGAGCCAAGGAGCTTCCAGGAACCTTAAGATTTAACCCTTTCTGCTCCGAGATGGTGGGGAGGGCTGGGAATGTCACTTCACCTGCAGAACCACCTCTGGAGCAGCCATGGAACATGAGATGAGCTGCCAGGAAACAGCGGGTTCTCTGGGAGCAGAGCTTGGAGCTACACACGGGCCTTCCCTGGGGCCCAGGAGGGGTCCTGGCTTTGCTAAGTGCTGGTGCTCTGGTTGGCATCAAACCCTGTGAGCAGGAAGTCTTGGGACACCCCCCAGGAGCCCCTCGGGAGTCCCTACAGGGAGACCCCCAGGATGCCAGACCCCCTGACATGGCTTGTTCTACAGGCACAGAGTCACCTTAGCACACACCGGCAGCACATGTCACCTCCATGGCCAGCACGGAGTCACCTCTGCACACCAGCACCAGATGTCATCTGTGACCACATCTCTGCTGGCCACACAGATTCTTCCATATAAAGCCTCAGCAGCGGCTGCCGCGTGTTATTTATGGTCCCTCACACACACGTGGAGCCCGGGGGCTGCCTCAGGCCCAGCTGTGCGTTTTTCCCCCTATGAAACACAAACCTTGTTCAGAACAGGCTCCTCCAGCCTCATCCCTCTCTGGTGCTCCCAGCACAGCTGGATTTGATCTGTAGCTACCTGGACATCTATTGCCTGTTCCTGTTTGTCTCTGGAGCAGCCAGATTGATGGGAGCAAGCTCTAGAATGCCAGCAAGCAGCTCAGCACAACCTGGGCATTCAGTCCACTTTTTAGGCCATTTCTCTGTTATAAAAGGCCCTGACCCTCTGCCTGTGCCATGTCCACATGTCCTTAAATCAAATTGTCCCTTCCTCTCTCCAGGTGCTGACAGAGCCAGGCCAGGCAGACCAACCACGGTCTGTGAGGAAATTGCCTCCACTGAGGTGGAGGAAAGCCAGAGAGAACAGGATTTTATCCCCAAGTCCCTGAGTTGGAGCAACCGGCATGCCTGATGTGGGCATCACTGCCTGGTGCAGCTCTGGGATGTCACAGGGGATAGAGGCTCTGGCCTGGGGACTTCTACCTGATGGATTTATGGAGACAAAAAGCACAGGGGGGGCGTGCAAGGACAGCCAGGTGCTGGCTCAGCCGTACAGTCACATCCGATTACGTCCAGTGGCAACATCACGTTAAGCCTCAGCACCCAGCAAGGAGATGAGGGGCAGCGGAGGGGGCACGTGTTACAATACGATGTCGATCCGGGGTAAAATTTCCCCGTTTTCCTCTTGACATGGAGGAAAAATACAAGAGATCGACCTGTAAATGGCTCGATTTCAGTTGGGAGAGTGATTTCCAAATAGAGAGTGAGCAGGTGGAAACAAGGCAGTGTTGGGCTCAAGGACAGAGGATAGGCACAGAAGGGAGCCGGCATTGCTGTCGCCGCGGCCGAAAGAGGTTTGAGGGCTTAACTCTCGCTAAGTGAATCCCTTCGCGTGTCCACGCTGGGAAAATGTCGCCCAGCAGCGCTGTCTGGGAAAATCACTGTCAGAGCCGACCCCGACCCCGACCCCAGCCGGGTCCCGCCGGCGCCAGCCCGGGGAGAGGAGAAGCCCCCGAGGAACCTCCTGGGCCCGGCTGGCGCTGCGAAGGGCCGGGGCTGCGCCTTTCATATGCAAAGGGAGGAAGGGGGGATGGGAAAGGAAACTGAAACCGATCCTACCTCCTTCTCCGAGACGTAAAGCTGATCTCCCTTCAGAACCACATAACGGTTTTTCCAGATTTCCCTAAAAATGCCTTTTCCGCAAAATTTCCGCACCCAGCCGACCTTCTCTGGCTGCACAGGTTGCTGGTTTCCATCCTGGTGCCCCTAACACAAAGCGAGAGGGAAGAAAATGGGGGAAAACGGGATTATTCTTGGGTTTACACTCCTTTTCTCCCCCTTCCCTCTTTGCCCAACTTTTGTCTCCCCCCGCCTCCGGCCCCTCTCTCCGCCGACGCCGGGACCGAGTCCCTTCCCCGGGGTCACTCCACGGGGATTTTTGTGCTGCAGACACGAAGCGACAGTAGCAGCATCGGGAGGACGCTGCGAGGAGCGGGCAGGGTTCCCTCCGCGGTTATATAAGACAGGCCGGTGTCTCTATCGCCTCATCCAACGGGCATTTATCCACGGAAAGGGGAACAGGAGGGGGATGGGCGGAATTTAAACCAACTGGGTTATTTTACCGCTATGAAAATTGCATTTTGGAGCTTTTCATGAGCAATTAATGCAAGAGGTGAAATCTACGGTTGGTTTCTATCAGAGGTGTCTCCGTAGGCAGCGATGGGATCGCTGGGTGCAGCACACAACACGCAAAGAGCGACGGATTGATGGTGCCTCCGGATTTTATCGTTTCCTTGTGTTCCAAGATGAAAACTGCCTGCCTACATCACCCAGTGTCTGTGGCGGCTGCGGGAGGCAGGAGGGGCGCTGGGCAGGGGCAGGAGCAGGGCCGGGCGCAGGGTTTGGGTCTCTTCGGGTCTGCCTGGGGGTCTGTGCGCTTATTGCGGGGGGGAGCAGAGGCGAAGCGAACAACCGGCCCCGGAGAGACAAGCCCCCCTCCCCAAAACATCCAGGAGCCTCCCTCACCCCGCCTTGCCCCGGCGAAGAACCGATTCTCTACTCACCCTTTTTGCAGAATTATTTTTTTTCATCGTTCCTTGGTGCGCTCGGAGGCGATTTGGGGCGGGGGGTCGCAGAGGGGCTCCCGGCGCGGGGGAACACCCGGGACTGCGCCCGCGATCCGCGCTGCCTTCGCCCCGCGTGGCTCAGGGCCCTCTCCCGTTACACGGCGCCCAGCCCGGCGCTCTGAGCCATCGCCAGCGCCGCCGCCGCGTCCCCCCCCGCCGCCACCATCCCGCAGCTCGGGGGGCTGCGCCGGGCTGCGCCGGGCTCCCGAGCTCCATCTATAGCCGCGCGCCCGTGACGTCGGGGTTCGCGGCACGGCGCGAATCGCAGCCCACGGGGCTTGTTCTTCTTTGTCTCTGACTCACCGGGGACGCGGGGCCGTGGGGCAGCGGGCGCGGGGCGGGCGGTGCCGCGCCTGCTGCGCCCAGCGGGGCCCGGCCGCGTTCCCGGCGGTCTCACGGGTCACCGGGAAACTTCCCAGAAGAGGGAAAAGCAGCCGGGTGGCACTGGGAGGGTTTTCTCTCCCCTAAAGGTGTTCGGAAGTGTGAACAAATCCCGCTGGAGATAGGAGCTGAGAGATTTCCTGGGGAGGGGGCTGTGGGAAGGGGTCGCTTCCAGCACGGAGGGTCTGACAGCCTGGATTCAGAGCATGGCTTCCAAATATGAGGAGACACTGAGCTTCCTAAAAAATGCCCTATTTTGGCTTATTTTGTCTGTCTCCTTCATGTCCTGCAAGTGAGACTGAGGTCACGGATGGGATTTATGGATCAGAAGTGGGTGAGGTAGAGGGAAAAGCAGAGAAAGGAGAAAGTAGTTCTGTCCAGAAAGATTGAGCCATCCATCAGTGGACCAGCTTTCTAATGACAGTGTCCATTCCATCACTGGACAACACCCCCCACCCCTGATTTCAAGTGTAATTTCACCCTAGTACTGTGGAATTAATGCATGCAGAGTCCTAGGGATGTACTTGGATTACGGAGTGTTTCCAGAGCTTCTGTGAGCGTCTGTACCCCATTCAGAGCATCAGCATTTTTGCCATGAGCTGTGGATGCACTGGACACCTGAGAATACCTGGGACAGAGACACAAGTCAGTCTCTACACCAAATCCAGGGGCTGCCTTTTCGTCCTGTGCCTGTGCAGCCCTGAACTCCATGGGGCCCAGGACCAGGATTTGCCATCGCTGTGCCTCAGTTTCCCCTTTTACCCCATGTGGCCAAAGCTTGGTCCAGGCAGGGCTGATGGCAGAGGGAGAGATGAGCCATGCCCAGAGCCTCCAGTGTATCCCCAGGACACCACAGAACCTGCCAGTTTATTTAATGACATTTTGCCTCCCAACCGGACTTGTCCTTCCTCACATCCTGTTTTTGGTGGCCAGGGCCTGCAGAGTATCGGCTGATGGCCAATACCAGATGGCACAGTGCTGGTGGCAGTAGGACAGCTCTGTCGTGCCCTTTGGATCCAGGGCCCATGCTCTTCCCAAACGTCCTCTGGTGCCAGGGAAGTTGCCCTGAAACCACAGCAGGTAACACACTTGCACACACCTCCCTGTCCCTGGGAACAGGAATTCAGCTGCAGTTGGAATCCTCAGGCTGTTCTGACAGTGCAACAGTGAGTCATGCTGTGAAGGATGTGACCAATGATTCAGAGCTGGAAACATCAACAATTTACATGGAAGGAATGAGAGAGGAGGGAACCTGTCTCCCATTTCTGTACCAGAAACAGGCGGCTGTACTTGCAGCAGTGAGGCTGACCCTGGAGGCTGCTCACCAGTGGGACAGGTGACATGGTCTGTGCAGCTCCTCATCCCTGTCCCCGTCGCCATCCCTGTGGGCAGAATGAAAAGCCTCTCCGAGGTGTGTTTGTGTCTCTATGTTCACACAGCCTCTTTGCTACCCCTGGCCCTCATGCTGTAGCTGCTCCTTGTGCGGATCCACAATCAAGTTGCCAAAATCACCCCTTCTTGCAGAGCAGATCAGCAAACTCTTTGTTTATTTACATATTTAACACCCCACACACAGCATTTTGCCTCTGGATATCAAGTGTGAAGCTGCTGCCTGGAAGGTGAGCAGAGTTTAACTAGGACACATGATTTTCTGTGTCTCTGGCAATAATTACAGTGCTGGTGTCTGGGAAAGGGGCTGCTGGAGGACTGGATGGGGCAGGGGGCTGCCCAGTATCCTCTGACAGCTGTGACTCAGCTCCCCTCTGCTGGGGTCTCAGGTTGTCAGAGGAATTCACTTGCAGCTCTGCCTGTCCCAACAACCCAAAATTCACCCACCCAGTTCCACCTCTGGCTGTGGGCAGAGAACCCACCCCAGCACAAGTTGTGTTCTCCTCTCCCTTCCCCAAAGAACTGCCCAGGACCCCCAGGGCCAGGCTCCCTCCTCCTTGCAGGGCTTTGCTCTCTCCCACATCAATGGGACTTAGTTGTGATGCCAAGATAACTCCCAGGGATTTAGGAGCACATTTCATTTGATCTGGCTTGTTAATTCCCAGTCAAGTGCTGATTAGAGGCCAGGGAGCAGAGCTGGAAATGCATTTGCAGGCTCCTTGATGTGGTCCTGGAGGGGAGCAAAAACTCCTGCAACGGAGCTGCACCTTGTGGCATTGGGAAAGGGAAAGTGGGAATCATCTAGCAGACAGATTCAGCCAAAGAGGGGGATTTAATAGGACTCAACATATACAGACAGCAGAGCAAAGGGCTCCTGTGCCCAGCAGCCACACCCCCACAGCTGCTCCCCCAGCACAGGGCGGCATTGTGGGTTCCTCATGGGACTCATCCTGTGTGTCCTGGTAAAGAGCCAGGAGCTGCAGGGATTCAAGGGCTTTCCCAGGCTCTCCTCAGGTGACAATCCCAGTCCTGGAGCTGTCTGTGATGGCACAAGAAGGAGCTGCAGTGGGGGCACATCCTTGCTGTTGGGCTAATGCCAGCTCCAGCATTCGCTGTCATTCTGGGTGTGCAGGGGAAGCTCCAGCTGCAGGGCAGGAAGATCCTGCTCTGCTCTGGGAAAGCTCTCAACGTGCAAAGAAGTACTCATTCCTTCAGGATTCACCGTCGGCTGCTAGACCTTGGTGGGACTTGGGAGCTGTCAGTGCTTCGACCACGGAATCCTGTGGCTGTGACCTCCTCCAGGAAGCTGCCAGGAAAGGTTCAGATCAGTGCAATAAGGGTCATGGCACCCTGATACTTGTCCGAGAGGTGTCCAAGGCCAGAGGGGCTGTGACTGTCCCCAGAACAAGCCTCAGGCCCGCTGCCATCACACACCCACGGCTGGGAGCAGCTCCCAAAGCCAGGAATGCTCCCAGCCAGAAGGATGCTGCTGGAGGATGATTCCTCTGGCAATGAGACACCATGGCCATTCCCAGGCTGACTCATCCCTCAATGTGCTGATCAGGTGATCTCAACAGCAATGCTTAAAAAAACACCCAAAAAGAAAAAGAAATACAAACCAAGATATGCGACAAATCCTACAGAAATGGGATTCCCCAAAACTGGGGCTGGAGCAGCTCTTCCTGCCCCGGTTGTGAATCTTGAGAGGGGTTTGAAAAATAGTAAAACTCTAAAATCTCCTGCAGAACCCTGCAGCAACACCTAGCTCTGAGTCCCATCAGACACAGCTGGGAGGGGGCACAGCCAGGGCACTGCCCACAACAGCAGCAGCTCTGGCAGCTGGCTCTCCCTCCTCCAGGTTATTTTTAGGCACTACAACCAGGCAGAACTGAGCTCTGGCAGGGAATGACTGGTGTTTTTAGGGTCTTCTGGTTCTGTGCTGTCTGGAGCAGGTTGTGCCTCTGACCACTGACACCTCAGGGTCCCTTGGCGTGGCCTCTCCGAGCACATTCCCAGTCTGGAGTGACTGGAGGCAAGAGCCAAACTCCCGCCTGCCCTCCAGGGATGAGCTGCATCACAGCACAAATCCTCCTGCTGAGGATGCTGTTCCAAGGACCCTGCAGGAACAGGTGAGGACCCAGCACAGGCATCTGCAGGTACCTCCAGAGCTGCTCCACCCAACCAGGGCCTGGAGATGGAAGTCCCAGGAGAGATGAACCTTGCACAGTGAGGAGGGTCCCCAGGAGGAGCCAGTGCTGCCACTGCGGCCGTAACTGGGTAACTGGGTCAGGCCCCACATCCTGGGATTAGTCCCAGCAGGTTCATGTGCAACCTGCCCAGGATGAGTCAGCCCCAGCACCAGATGTTCCTGGAACCCTTTTTATCCGATTATTGATCCTTTGTAACCCCTTCTCCTCCAAACCCTGCGGAATTGCTCTGGAATCCCTAGGAGCAGAGCGGATTCTCCATCCTTTGGGCCACCCCTCTGGGCCCACAGATGTTGGTCCCAGTTCCAGCAGGGAATAAGAACAATGGAACCAGGATTAGGTGCTTACACGGCTGCTCGGCGCATTAACACCCAAATCCCCTTGTTTCTGGTGACATATCTGCCCTAATCCCGCGGGAATCAGTAAGGTCATGGATTACGTGAGGGGTTGGGACACACTAAAACCTGGCTTTCCTCCTCACAGATGTGCTGAGATATCCCTGATCCTAGGGATCTGGGATCGTGCTGGAATCGTGGGTAACAGTGGACAGTTTTTATTGTCCTTCCATCCTCAGGGAAACCTTATCCAAGGGAAAATGGATCATTTGGGACAGGGCTGTTTCAGAACAGGCCCTTTGCTGTCCTCCCCAGGCAGGACCCAGCCACATCCAGCCCTTCCAAAGCACCCTTTTATTTTCCCTTTTTTCCCCACTTCATTCTTTGAAATGCAGATTTGGATACAGAATCCCAGTTTTTCTGTAAATAATTCAGGGACTGCCCAGCAGCAGAGCCCAAACCAGCCCGAGTGACTTCTAGCAGCACCAATCCAAGTGGAGCTAATGATGGAGCTGCACATCCTGAGCTTCAGCAGCAACTCAGGATTTTCCCACCATCCCACACTGAGCACTGGGAATCTGGAGAGAATTCCTGCTCTCCTGCCTGGCCAGCAGCAAGCTGTGCCGATGGGAAGCAATTCTCACTGTAGCCTCAATTCTTTCCTGTGCCCAAAGTGAGTAATTTGGGTTCAGGAGAAATTATTTGTATTTATAAACCAGATAATCTCCCACTGGGAATTCCATACTGAGAGGGATCTTTGCCCACATTTAGCAAAGCAGCTGCAGCTTCGTTCAGTGCTAAATTCCCATGTGCTGCTGTGGCTTCCCAGTGTTATGAACTAGAAAAACTCTATGGAAAACTCTCCTAGCCCACCCTTGAACTCACGGAAACACAAGTGAAACCTCCAGCTCAGGGATCTGTCCCTGAGCAGAGCTGGGTCTGGAGCACTGACACACATTTCCATGTGGGGATCCTACAGGCATCCCAAATTCCTGCCATGCCAGCAGTTTCCCAGGCGGGGTCTGCAGAGAGGTGGATTTTACCTCCTGGTGTTATGGATGGTGGTCCCACCCAGGACGATGCGGACGCCAGGGTTGGAGCGATTCAGGTTGAACACAGCCAGAGCCTCCTCGTAGGTGGCCCCTCCGATGAGGAACACGATAATGTCCTGAGGCCTGGGATAAAGGCACAAATCACGGAATGGTTTGGGCTGAAGGGACCTAAGAGCTCATCTTGTTCACAGCAGGGACACCTTCCACCAGACCAGGTGGATCCAAGCCCTGTCCAACCTGGCCTTGGACACTTTCTGGGATGGAGAAGCCACAAATACTGAGTTGGGATCAGACAAAGCCAAGGATAAATCCTGCACCTTGGAGGCAGTCATGCATGATCCCCAGGGTGCCTCCTCCAGAGCCTCCTTTATCCCTGTGACATGCCGGGCTCAGAGCTGAAAACAGCCCACTGAATCCCCCAAAACCTCTCCTCTCTTGAACTTTCATCCTGAGTAGCCTCCAGCAGCACCACCCTGACCCCTGTGGATCCACACGCCCATGTTTAATGCATGATCTGCTGGGGCTGGGAAATGAGGATCGATTCTGGAGTCAGGCAAGGACACAGCGCTGCCTTGGAGCTCCCAGGCTCAGGGCAGCTCACACTTGTGACTGATCAGGAACTGCCAGGATTTGTGCCTCAGTTCACCTGAGGGGACATTTCCCAGTCAGCAGGAAAATGTGGGATGGTGGAGAGAAGCTAAGAGGAAGAGGGGAAAGGAGGGAAGTGCCGTCCTCCATTCCAACACAATCTCAGGTGTGCTGTGCATGTCCTGCTTTCACATGAGCTGCTCCTTCCCTCTCCTGTAACCACCCTCCCAAGCCCTTGCAAGGACCAACACCAGGGATTTCTTCCTTGGATCATTGCATGGACAGCATGACCCAGAGCAAAGCTGCTCCTGCCTGGCTGGGACACAGGCACAGAGGGAGCATGTTGGCCGCTAGATTTCCATGGATCTCCACACCACTTCCTCCCTGCCCAAGGGGATGGAGGAAAGAAAACTCATGAAAAGTGAGTGCAGTCCTTTCCCAATGTGAGCTCTATCACCTCTAATTCCACAGAGCCTGTGTCTCCCCAGAGTCTGGGTTATGTCTGCATGACCCTCTCCAGCAGGATCCCATTTCCATTGGGAACAGTACTGGCTCAGGCAGGAGAGCTGCAGTTGGACTATTTTTGGCAGTCCCCAAACACCAGATGGCACAGCCATCACAGAGTCAGCTCTGATGAGTGAGGGCTTCATCCTTCACCTGAGCCTCCCAATGGGAATGGCACATCCAGGCCAGCAAGGCAAGCCAGGACGAGACATATCCCAGTCCTGGGAACATTCCTGGGGATACGAGACCTCCACATCCAAGAGATTTCTGTGCCAAGCCCCAGTGCTATCCAGCATCAGTCCAACCCCACTGTGGGGACACCAGGGATGTCCCAGTGCCAGGGGCAGCCAGTGCGTCCCAGTGCAGGCTCTGCCACAAAGGCCCCATGTACCTGTCCCGGAGTGTGTTGGGGCCCAGGTAGGGATACTGGCTGTCCTTGAGCTTTCCCTTGATGAGCTGGTCCAGGGTTTCCTGGAGCAGGGGCTGGTGCTGGGTGTACACATTCTCAATGCCCTGCAGCAGGAGAAAAGCTCTTTAGGAAGTCACCCAGCAAGGAAGGAGGATCAGTAGAGGCACAGCAGGTACTACCCCTGAATGTGGGATTGAGAAGCTCTCCAGCAGCTCGCTCCTGTTGCTCAGTGGAATCACACCCTGAAACCACTGCCCTCACTGTGAAACCCCAGTCCTGAGCCAGCAGCCCACAGCATTCCTGACAGCCCTGCAGTTTTCCTTGAGACTGTCTCCCCGTTTCCCCAAGGCAGCTCGGTACCTTCAGGCCTTTGAGGAACTGCTTGGTGATGGCCACGGCATCCTTGGGGCTGAACAGGTCACTGCCTCGGACCCGCTTCCCTCCATACTCCACCACGGCGGACACCAGCTGTGCAGGGAGAGGGCAGGAGCCCTGTCAGCCTGGGAACAGCTCCAGGCTGTGCTGAGGAGTCACTGCAGACACCTCCTGGAGGTGTGGAACAGGGACAAGGAGCCAAGGAGAGGATCCCAGTGGAACAGCACATGGAGGTGAGGGGACAGAGCAGCAGCACCCCCATGCCCCCCAGCCCACCCCGACCCTCCTGCTTGAGGAGAGGCTTCATCTCCATCGCCTGCAGCAGCGACATCAGCTCCTCCACACGAGGTGACATCATCCCGTTCCTCCACCTCCTCCCCAGCTGCTCCTGGCACCGTCGCCTGTTCCCTCCCTGCCAGCTCCTCTCCATCCCCAGCCCTTCACTGCAGCCACTGCCTGTGCTGCAGAAGCTGGGAAAAGTGGGGGAGGAAAAGAAGAAAGGAAGCACATCCCAGGCCCATGTATGTGCCACACTCCTCCTCCCAGCAGGCTCTTGCCATCCCTTCATTATTAAATCCTTCATAACATTACAGAATCAAAGACTAGTCAGGAGTGGAAGGGACCTCTGGAGTCCAACCCCCAACATCACTGATTTAGGAAATGGAAATCAATTCAATTATTTAAAACACCTTTTAAAGCCACACCCACAGGTCCCAGCAGAGCTCAGGGCTCTGTGCAATAACATAGCCCTGGGCTGACCTGGAGCAGGCAGGTTTCACCCCAAAGAGCAGGGATTCCCCCATCCTGTCTATAAATACATTGGGGCTGCCCGGTCCTGCCCCGCCCCGGGGTTACCTTGCGGTACCTGCCCGCTCCTGCCCCGCCCCGGGGTTACCTTGCGGTACCTGCCCGCTCCTGCCCCAGCCCGGGGTTACCTTGCGGTACCTGCCCGCTCCTGCCCCGCCCCAGGGTTACCTTGCGGTACCTGTCGGTGCCGCCACGGCTGCGCAGCTCCTCCAGCAGTGCCGGGAGGCCGCTGCTGCCGTGGCGTTCATAGCGCAGCGCGTAGAGCATCACCAGCCGAGCCGCGTCCAGCTCCGACACCCGCGGGCTCTGCAGCAGCCGCCGCACGCTCTGCGGGACACACGGCACATCAGGGACTGCCCCGGTGCCCGCAGCCCGAGGGACACCGAGTCAGACTGCCTTCACTCCTGTCACTGTCTTATCAGTCACTTATCAGACTGGTTCCACTGGTGTTGCTGCCCAGCAACAACACTGCCACAGGAGCAACGCAAGAGAATCCAGTTGCGGCATAAACCCCACAGCCCAGCTCCTCAGGTGTTCCACAGGTGGATTTACTGGAGTACAATTTGGGTTTGGATCTTTCCATGGAGCTGGGAATTCACAACCCACCTCAGATGGGTCCTGAGCCCCTTGTGGTGCTGCAGGAGGGGGAAGTTGTGCACTGGCACTTTCAGACACCTCCAAGCTCTGCCTGGGTCCCTCCAGCTTCAGCAGAGCCACCCCACTGGTTCCACCACTATACCAGCTCCAAAAAACCACTCAGGCAATCCCTCAAACTCCATTTCCTTTTTGGAAGGTGCAAGGCAGAGGCATCAAGCAAACCTTTGGACGTGAGATGTGGAGGAATAAGCTGCACATTTGGAAGCAAAGGAGGGAAGGAATTAAAGTATGGAAACAGAGATTCCAGTTATAGGGAAGAGCAGGGATCTGTTACCACTCCTGATCTGCTGCTGGATTCACCACCCTGGCCCAGATGTTTGTTGGCATCTATTTGACTGATGCTGACTAGTGACAAAAGCACAGCATAAAATCCTGGCTGTGAGGAGGATCAAGAGGAATTTCAAGGTCAGGAATTCACCTGTGAGGGGAAGGCCAGAGCCCCAGGGAGGTTCCTGTGCTGGCAGGACCAGTGGGAAGCAGAGAACAGAACAGCCATTGTCCATGGGAGGAGCCGGGATTCCAACCCTCCATTCAGCTCCCAGGGCTCACGAACTGTGTCAGGGTTAATGAGAGCCCAGGAGAGGAAGAACTCAAATGTCCTGGACTGGGGAGCCCAAGGCCACAAGATAGCCAACAATCCCTGAAGTGACATCAAGGGAGAACAATTCCACCCTTATTCCGGGCTCTGGCTGCTGCTTCTTGTGCCCTGGCCTTGCCCCTCCTGCAGCCATTGGGAGCCGCAGCAGGGACAGCCCAAGGCGGGGTGGCTGCAGGGACAAAGATCCCACTGACAGGGGTTTCCATTTACTTCCAAGCATATCTTCCAGTGGCTTCAGCTGCTGGCAATAAAACAGGGCTCTTCAGGCACAGGGCTGGAAGGAAACTGAGGCAACATTTCTGCTCTAAAACTACAGAAACACTTTCTGTAGAGCAGGGCCAAGGCGACCCCAGGAACACCAGTATCCACCTGGCACCAGCTCCGTGCTATGCGTATATTCCATCAAAAATCACGGCTCATGGCACAGGGAGGGAGCAGACTGGGAATATTTGACTTTTAAACTGAAACAACCTGAGCTGAGACAGTGATACAGCATGAGGACCTCAGAGGCTGCTTCCAGCAAACACATTTCTGGCTGCATTCCCAGTTCCATACTCAGCCATGTAAATCCTGCCAGACACCAGCTATGGAAGCCCATCCCTGCACTCACTGGTCCATAGGGAAGCATCAGCTCAGGGGATGGGTGTACATTCTACCTCTGGGGACAGTCCAGGGTTATCTCCTCAGCCCCCACCTGTTATTCAGACTTACAGAGGTGGGGAAGAAACTGATCTCAAACCTGCTGGAGATGCTTTTCCTCATTTCCCAGTCCTTCTGCCTCCCCAGTGCCATGCAAGGGTCTGTTACATGTTGGGAATCCCCCTCTGCTACTGAAAATCAAGGAATCATTTCTCAGAAGTGTCTGCTCCAACCCTGCTCTGAGCCAGCCCCATCCCAATGCTGCTGTTGAACACCAGCCCAAACCACTGACTCTGCCAGACCCTGCTCTGGTCACAGCACAAGGGGGCCACGTTCAGCTGACACAGAGCCTCTCCAGCTTTTCCAGGCCTCTCTGCCAAAGAAATCTTGGATCTAAGACCCTTTCCAGTGGTTTTTCTTAAAAAAATTGATAAAGACAATTCCATGGATTCCAGCTCTTCTCCTGCCCAACACAACAGCTCCTGCATAGTATCTGAGGTTGTTTTATCCGGGTTCCTGCCAGAAGACAACTGGCTGAATATAATGAAAGAATGTTGGATTGTGGGATGTAAGGACAGGATTTGCAAAGATGCTTCTCAAGCCAGTTATTAACGATGACTCATTCCCATCTGAGCTGAGCACGGAAGAGCAATTCCACATCCAGTGTCCCTCCCCACAGGGTATCCATACAGAGCTCCCACTGCCTCCCAGCAGCAAATCCTCACTCCCAGGGGAGTGACGGGATGAAACCCACCCCTCCCAATCCAGAGCCAGGATGAGTACCTGGAGGGCACTGGAATGGTCACTCTGGCAGGCCAGCTCCTGCTCCACCTCTGACACCTCCAGGAGGTTCCGCTCCGCCACGAGCCGTGACAGTTCCCCCACCACCGTCACGTGCTTGGACACCGTGCCTGACATCTTCTTGAACTGAGGGTAGTTCTCCACAAAGGCCTGTGATGGGAAACTGAGGCAGTAGGTGCTTCCAGGGAAAAGCAGGAGATAGAAGATAGGTGCAGCCAGCCATAAACTGTACAAATTCCCAGCAATCCAAGCCCTGTGCAGGTGTGCAGAGAATCAGACACCTTGATCCCAGGAGCCCACAGGATTTCTCTCATTACCAGGAGATTTCTGGGAGGTATGTACTTTTTATTTACTCTTAACACTGAAGGATGGGACACAGCTGGGGTGGACTTTGTCCATACCTTCATATCCGCAATGGACTCCAGCTTCTGCTGCTCCTTTGGCTTCCTCCTCTGGAAATCCTCCATCAGGTTCTTGATGTTGGTGCCAATCTCAGCGAAGTTCAGGTACATGTTCTGAGTGGAACAAGACGGGAAGCAGAGGGAAACTTACTTGAGAGTCTTGGCCAAGGAAGATCCTTGAGCAGCTGGGAGAAGGTGGCTCCATCCCCCAAAACCTGCAGCAGGGTTTGAAATCAAACTACAAACAGGACATGTTCTCTCATGTCAGATGTCACTGGTGCTGCACACCGATGGTCACAAATGGCACATCCCCACCCTGAAGCTCAAAGTCATCAAGAAGCTCCTTTCCCATGGCAAACTCCCAGATCTGGGAGCAGGCGAAGCCCCCCGGGACACCTACATTGGCGTAGAACTCATCGTTCTCAGCGGACAGGACGACCTCCCGCAGGTCCTTGCTGATCCCTGGCACCCGGGACAGGTCGATGCGGTTGTTGTTGATCCCCAGCAGCTCGTGGACCATGGCCTGGTACGTCCACTGCCAGGGGACAGAGGAAGGCAAAGGGATGACCTTGGTGAGACACAGCACTGGGAAATCAATGGACTTCAGCTGAACCCAGCCAGAGCTGCTCCTGCTACCCCAGGACACACAGCAGAGTCTGGGAGTGCGTCTCTCAAACCAGCCAGGACATTCCAATGAAAATAAACATCACTGATAAATCGTCAGATGGGGACACAGTGCAGAGGGAAACTGCCCCCCTCCAGGGCCATTCCAGAATCACAGTATCATGGGATGGTTTGGGTTGCAAGGGACATTAAACCCATCCTGTTCATGGCAGGGACACCTCCCACCAGATCAGGAATTCCTACAGGTACCTTCAAAAGAGACTGAAGAGGGATGGGGATTAACATTCCTGTTCCAACACCTCTGTTGGCCACCAAATCCCCCAACTTTCTTCCTGGGCAAGGAGAGGTCCCACAGTTCCACTGCAGAATTCCCTACATGCTCCACTGGAAGGAGAATTTCTGCACATCAGGCATTTCTATTTTTATCCTGAAAAGTCTAATAATAACCCAGAGAGAACAGTGACAGCTGATCACAGCCCTGCCATGCCCAACACTCCATTTACATCCCCAGGAATCTCTTTGAGATAGGAAATCCTGAAACAGCAGATAACGCCCGGTGCTGAGCACAGTCCTCAACACCACAAGCCAGGTGTGAGCTGGTCTGACAGCCACACCCCTCTGTGACACAGATGTCACCTCCAGTTCCCGCAGAACCGGTGTTACAGCAGCTCTGGGGCTGCTGATCCCACCCAGGTGCAGGTCCTGATCCCCAGGTTCCAAGGGAACCTCACAGAAATGAAGGGAGACCAACAGATCCTGCCAGGATCTGCAGCACAGCATGGAACAAATAAATCCAACAGCTCCCAGCAAATCCAGCAGCTATCAATAACAGAGGGAGACTCAGCAGGGCAAGGTCACTCGACAGCTGTGTGCTGCCCACACAAACAACCCTTGGGAAAGGCCCTGCAAAGCACTGGGGCTCCAGAAGCCACACAGAAGTGCCAGTGGCTCCATTTTCCAGGGTGCTGCATCCATCAGCCACTGACGCCAGCACAAACAACCCCCACTCAGGTCTGGAAAACCTAGCCAGGGGATAAAAGAGGGATTTTGCAGGGATTGGGGATAGGAAGCAAGTCCTACATCCAACTCACGACCTGCCAGGTGTAGAACTCCAGCTGCTACAGGATTCCCACCCCTGTCCCAGCCTGACACACCTGGGCGTGACTCACCTGGTTCAGGAGTGGGGTGATGGCATCGTCTGACCGGTCCAGGATGAGGAGCAGGGGAGGGACCTCGGTGCGCCGGAAATCAAACAGCTCATACTCCTTCGTGATCACTTGCTGTGGAGAAATGGGAAAAATCCCACTTGAACGGCTGGAAAAGTCTCCAGTGTGGACTCAGGCACACAGGGAAGGGAGGGTGAGACCCCAACTGTGCTGCTTTGTCTGCACTGCCAGGGAGGAGCTGAAGGCCCCAGGGAACTGGGACACTGCTCCTAGGAATGCTGTAGAACTCCAGCTGCTGTTCTGGAAGCAGAGCGGGACATGACCTGCCCACTGCTGGGCCTCAAAGTAAACGATGGAATTTACAGGAATTGGCTGAAAACAGGTGTTTCCTCCCAGTGGATCCACATGTGAAAAACCAAGCAAGGCTGAATTCATCCCAAAGGGACGTGCTGTGGGTTCCTCTCACCTTCACGCACTCGGCCAAGCGCTTTGCTGGCTCCGAGGACAGCTGGTACCGGATCATGGGGCACTTCTTCAGGGACAGCAGCAGAGCAGTGAGCCCCTGGGTTGTTCTGGTGAGCTGAGCTGGGTCCCAGCTGCGGCCCTGGAAGGAAAGGCTGCACCTCACATGGATGCACTGGTCCCAAACTTTCCCACATCCTTGTTTTTAAGTCCTGAAGTCCCACAGGAAAGCACAGCTGCACTGGAGCAGCAGGTACCCAGGGGCTGAACCCAAACTCCCCATGCCAAGGGCTATTCCCCTCGCCTGGCCCCTCCAGCAGCCCCCCATGGCCCCGGTTTATGAGGGCTGTGCATTACCCAATGCAAGGACAACTCGCCATGTTCCTACCCGACAGCAGCCCAGGAGGTTGAGGGAGAAGACGTGAGGGTTCACCGCAATGTAGTCGCCGTAGAACTCCTGGGGAGGGGAGCAGGACAGTCCTGTGTCTCTAACCCTGACCCCAGCCAGAGTCATGTGCCAGCACTGGCCATCCAGCCCCAACCACCTCCTGGACACATTGGCTCGGACTTCCTTCCTCCACCCCAAACCCCTCCAATCCCACTGACAACTCCCCTCCCATTCGTATTACTCCAGTGCCCAGCTCTTCATCAGCACCACAAACATGGAATCATGGAATTACTGACTTTGGAAAAGCCCTTTAAGACCATTAAGTCCAGCTATCCCTCCAGCAATGCCAAGGCCATCACTAAACCATGTCCCCAAGTGCCACATCCACATGGATTCGTACTTGGCAGCACCTTGTGAGACACCAAGAATGGTGCAGCAGCTGTGAAAGCAGATGGCATAGAGAAATGGGGCCTTTTCTTTCTTTTAGCTCTTCATCCCACATTTGTGTCCGTCCCTCATCCCACACAGGCCTATCACGCACCAGTTGGGAACAAGAGCCCTCCTGCTCCCAGTGTCTGGCAGCCTGGGCTTCCCTTTGCTTTTGGGTTTGGATCTGCCTAAAACATCCAAACTTCACCTGGACTTCAGCCACGACCTCCTGCTCATCGGCCTCAGCCAAGGCCTTCACATCACTCTTGCTGATGACATTGCTGAAATCTGGGAGGAAACAGGGAAGGGACAGTGGAGACCCTGTGGGATGGCATAGTCTGATCCCCTCCAGAGCAGGAGCAGATCCCACGGAGACCCTCTAACCCTACACCTGCAGGTGTTGGAATCCTGAGCCACCTCCCAGGGATGCTCTGAACTCATTCCCTGCCCATCTCCCCAGCGCCTGCTCCCGCTGCATCCTGCAGAGCCACAATGACATCTAGAGGCCACTTCACCCAGTTCCTGGGATCCCACTGACTAATTCCTGGGCTGGAGGACTGGACTTCAACCCCAAACCGGCTGGAGTCATTCTGCCTCATTCCCAAACTCATGGAACGTTCTGTGGCACGAGCAGCACGCGTGGGAAGCCCCTGCCCGATACACCCAGCACAGGAAGGTGCCGTGTGATCCGCACCAAGCTGTGGAACCTGCCCTATCCACCCTGGGACACAGAGCCTGTTCCACATTTATGGACCTCCAGGACCCCTGGGCTCTCCATACTCACAGATGAAGTAGACACTGTACTTGGGCCTTCGCAGCTCCTGCACCAGAAGCTCCACGTTCTCCTGGATGGAAATAGCACCAGGGAGAGCAGAGTTAAAGGATACCGGATCATGGAATTGTTAGGGTTGGAAAAGCCTCTGGGAGGGATCTTGGCCATTCCCCCAGCACTGCCAAGGCCAGCTGCCACATCCACATGGAACTGAACAATTCCAGGGACGGTGGCTCCACCACTGCCCTGTGCCAGGGCTGAACAACCCTTTCCAAGAAGGAAATTTCCTGAATATCCAACCTAAACCTCCCCAGCACGATTTGAGGCTGCTTCCTCCCGCTTCGGTCCGTACCTTGGTGGGCCGCAGGAAGCAGATGGCCTTGAGGTGCTTCATGGGCTCCCTGTTGGGGGAGTCGAGGCGCTCGAAGAGATAAACCTCGCGCTGCAGGATCTCGGACTGGGTGTACACCACGCTCACGGCGCCGGTCTGAGGGCGGCAGAGGGACAGCGCCCGTCACGGCGGCCCCGGGCCCGGCTCTCGGCCCCGCCGCCCTCCGCGCTCCCGGCCCCGCCGCTCACCGTCTCCCGGTCCATCAGCAGCACCTTCATGCCGGGGCCACTGTCCTCGATCATCTTGGACACGTACTGCCGGACCGCGAGCACCGCGTTCATCTTGGCGGGGATGCTCCCCCAGCGGGCTGTCCCGGCCCCGCCTCGGGCCCGCCCGGCCCCGGCGCCTGCTGGGAGCTGTAGTCCGGCAGCGGGAGCGCTCCGGGGCCCGGCCCGACCTTCCCCGCCCGAGCACTGAGGGGGGCTCGGGACGGCGGAGTGGATGGAGACTGAGCCCAACCGGACTCATCCCAGACGCGCTTAGACCCACTCAAACCTACCTTAAAATAACACAAACACACCCCAACCTATGCTAAATCCACCCTGAAACCCAAATCCACCCGAACCCACCTAAGCCCACCCCAACACACACAAACCCCCTCCAAATCTACCCAAACCCACTCCAAAACCCCAAGCATCCCCAGATCCACCCAGGCCAAGCCCCCAGGAAGGCCCGGCACACCCGAGGGTCCCCTGGGGTCCCCAGGGACAAAGGACGTGACTCGGTTTCACTGAACACGGAGCGAGCCGCTCGCTGGACCCTCCGGGACCTGGCCCCGCTAATCGCCGGGGCTGGGATTAGGTGCTATTCCCGGCGGGACAGAGCTGCTGCCAAAGCCCTATTTATAGTAGGGGATAACAATTAATTCATGATTATGGCCTGCCTTTCACTTCCAATTAAGCGGTTCCCCTCTTCTCAGTGACGTACGCCTTTGTCATCTTTAATCCTTCAATTTCCTGCCGAGATTCTACTTTTCACTTCCAAACTTCGGGTCTTCTTTCCTGGAGGCTGCGGAGTTTTGCTCATGTGCAGAGCTTCATACAAACCCCAAAGATTTGAGTGGTTTAAATAGGGATTTACCTAGGAAAATACAATTCAAATATTTTCTTTTTCTTTTTTTTTTTTTTTTTTTAATTTCTTGCCTGATTTTGTTTCTCATATCCAAACTGATGCCTTAAGGAGTGTGTGGGTGCTCCTGGCCAGAGGATACAGGATAATGGCAAATGGAAGAAAAATTCGGGATTTAATTGCATTTGATTGTTTTCTGGCCTTACTGTCAAATGATTAAGTGTCTGTAAAGTGCTGGTTTAGTTATTGTCCAGCTTCCTTGGAAATGCTTTTGCATTTTACTTGTGAACTAACCAAACCCAGGGTGTCATCTCCTCTTTAAATCCATTTTTGTCCTTGTCCTTAGGGAAGACAACCCCATTCTTGTGCCATTTTAATGAAATGAATCACAAACCAAATCTCTGAGGCTTTTTAGTGGGATGTTTATCCCTGGCTTGCAGGTAGAACATTTTAAACAACTTTTATTCTGCAGAAATTTTATACTTTTCATTCCCCACAGGATGACTGGGGGGTAGGAGAACAGTTCCATGTTCTAGGAGTGGTTGGAATCATGGAATTGTCTAGGCTGGAAAAAGACCTCTGCATTTGCTATAATTTTTAATTTAAACCTTCCTTAAGAATTTATTCAAGCATAGTTTCTGTAAATAACCCTGATCTAACCTCACCAATAACTGCCCTGGGCCTGTCAGCACTGGCCCAGCACGAGGACGGATGTTGGTCCCTAAGTTGAGGCAATAGGATTGTCCGGGATTATGCCACAGCTATTTTAAGGGATCGAATTTGGTGTCCATTATTTGAAAAGCAATGGATTCTCCACTCCTGATTCCAAGGAGAAATGGCCACGGCAGCCTGTGCTTCCTGAGCACCTCCTGAGTGACTTGGGAACACTCCTCCCTTCCCCTGCTCTTCCACACTGGGCCAGCACTTGTGTCCCAGGCATCTCCTCAGGAAAACGCTCCATGAAAAGAGGCTCTTGATGGTAAAATAAGGCCAGGATGAGTTCCCAGCTTTGGAGATCAGGAATCACAAGGGGCTTTACCTCACCTCGTTATTGTTTTACAGAGCAGTTGTAAAAGTACAGAGTACTTTTAAAGTACTTTTTAAAGTACTTGTAGAAGTGAGAGGGGGAGAAAAAACCAAATAAACATTGAAAGGCCCAAATGGATCCTTTAGGAAGCAGCATCCCTGTGCCAGTTATGTTCATTGGCTGCTCCAGAGGGCTTTGGGGGAAAGTCAAGTGGAGTTTAAGGCAGGAAAAGCTCTTTCCCAACCTGCAACCAAGGCCCTTGAATGTCACCTTCACCGATTGCTCCTGAGTCAGGGGTGTATCCCAAGCTAAGCTGCGGGGATCTTGTGTCCCCAACCTTTGCATTCTGTCCTTGGATGCTGCCTTCACTAGTGAAATGAGTTCCATGCAAAATCCTGGTCTCCCTCCTCCAGTGCCATCTGCTCCTCCATCCTTATCCCCTCTCTCCACCCCTGATCCTCTTTATGGCCTCTCCTAACTGATCCAAATGTCCCCCAGCATATCTGGCTGAATCACTGTGCTCGGGGAGACCAGGTTCATGTCCCTCCATCCCTGTGGTGTCCTGTGTGGGGCAGTTGTCCCCACTGCCTTGCCCTGTGTGTGGCTCTGGAGGGACCAGCAGCACCAGCAGCACTAAGGCCCCCGCTGGTTCCTCAGTGGTAAATTCACAACAAAACCCTTTTGCTCAATCTGGGAATGGTTCTAACTGGAGCTGTCAGAAATGAGATGGGATTTTATGTCTGTTTAACACTGTGCTGACCCCTCACCATGGCTCCAGCAGGAGCAGATGGGATTAGGGTGAGATGGAATGGGCAGGGATCACTCTGGAGCGTGGGGAGCACTCTGGAGAACACGGAACACTCCAGAGCACAGGGACACTCTGGCCCCTTGCTGAGCACCAGGGACATCGGGCAGGATCCACTGTGTGGACAAACAGTGCAGCCAGCAGGGACAAACCCTGTGCCTGTCCATTCTGTGCTGGACATTTCCCTGCCCAGACACACAAACAATCCTTTTGTGCAGGACGCAAACAAGGGCAGGTTCCTGGCAGGACACAAAGAATGGATTCAACATCGGGATCAGCTGAGCTGTGCGCATGACGTGGCCTGTTTGCCACCAGCCCCAGCAGCCCCTGGCGCCCACTGGCCCAGGCCCTGGCCCACCTGTGTTTTCCTAAGAGAAAACCTGGAGGTTTTCTCCAGGAAGGAAGAAGAAGGCTGAGTGGGAGGTGGACCGGGGGGAAAATACACCAGCAATGGCTTCATGGGAGCTGGGCCAGCACTTCCTGGCACATCCTGACACAGCTGGTGGCACCACTAGCCCCCTGCTCTGGCCACCAGATGCCCCGGTCTGGCACAGGGCTGGGACACGTTGTTATGCCCCGCTGCCGTGGGCACCCACAGCCCAGGGAATGCCAAGCCCTCGGCACAGGGAATGTGGGGCACTTGGGCCATCCCACCAGCTCTGCAGCTGCTGCCCCACTCAGCATTGCTCCCGCGCCGTGGGCGAGGAACAGGAAGCTTTCCACGGTAGGGAAAGCGATGTCCAGACAGAATAAGGCTCAGGGAGCAGGTGGTGCCCCTCACCCTCCGGGGCTGGCGTTTCAACCGCACGCAAGGGGCACAGACCCCACGGAAGGGGCTACCACTCCCAGTCTCAGGCCTCACAGTGGGAGGGATTGCAGACCCTTTAAATGGGCTCTCAGGCCCCATCAAAGGCGTTACTGACCCCATACAGACGTTACTGATCCCATACAGGGGTTTCAAGCCCCTCAGCTGGGTCTCGCGCCCCTCACGGGGTCTCGCGCCCCTCACGGGGTCTCGCGCCCCTCACGGGGTCTCGCGCCCCTCACGGGGTCTCGCGCCCCTCACGGGGTCTGGGTCACGCCGCCAGGGGGCGCTCTGCTCCCCAGTGCCGTGCGCGCGCGGTGGCGCCCCCGGTGGGCGGGGCCGGGCCTGGCCCTGCGCCGCCATTGGCCCCTCCCGGCACGGCCGCGTGCGCCCGCCAAAGCGTTCCGGGCGGGAACGGGGGTGGCGGCGCGTTCCGGGTGGCGCGTTCCGGGTGGCGCGTTCCGTTCCGCCTCCCCCCCCCCCCCCCCCCCCCCCC